ATATTTCTCTCCAGGATGGAGTCACAGCCAAAGAGGAACAGACCAGATGAAGCTACTCTGAGAAAAAGCAGAGAGAGCAGAATGTTAGAGATTGAACTAACAGATTCTGCAGAGTGGGAGAAAAGAGATTAAATGAGACAGAATGATGAAATAGGGGTTCCTATGTCCTCCAGCAGTCTAAGCCTATAGCAGCATAACTATAGAGATAGCTCAGAATAACCTGAGCCACTCTCTAACTATAAGCTTTATCAAAAACGAAAGTTTAAAGCTACTCTTAAGAGAAGACAGGGTGTCTGCCTCACGGACTGAAACTGGTCACTCACACAGTAACACCAGGATGGTGTAAAAAATACTTATTTTAAAAACCATCATCACGTGTATTTTTAGATTCTTGGCAGCAGTGGGAAGTTGCCAGCCTTGCAGTAGATTAAGTCAATTCATTTGGACTGAAATTCAGCAGTGTGCATGGTACTGTTTTAATTAGGCCCACGCAAAATCCTTATCTCGCCGTTCCACCAGCCTGGCTAACCCACATACATTCAGCTGTACTTAGAGCCTGAAAACCATCAGAGCTTTCATCAAAGTGGAACATGATCGCTGCGTCCCTGTACCGCACACATCCTGCAGTTATCACCGCATGTCTTGCAGACAGAAGAGGCTTTTACCTGTGGACTATGGAGGTGGGTGCGCCCCTCACTCAATTCCTGATCTTGTCCTGAAAATATGGGGCATTGTTACTCAAAGTTCTGTGTCCAACATTTCAAATGTTGTAAAAACTTAACCAATGACAGTAGGAGTGTCAGCGGTTTAGGGACCCCTTTTTCATCATTCTGCTTCATTCTATCTCTATTCTCCCTCTCTGCAGAATCTGTTTAATCTCTAATGTTCTGCTCTCTCTGCTGTTTCTCATAGTAGCTTCATCTGGTCTGTAAGACGGGAAGCTTTTCATACGCTAACAACAGAAATCTGGGAATTTTCAAAGACATGTTTCTACATTGATGTTTAATGCAATGTTCATTTATAATTCCCCTAAAGAAATGTCCACCAGCGCCTGTCTTTTGTCCAGTACGTGGGTTCTCTCAGGTCTGTCTGTTTTAGTCTCTCTAGAGAAAGCCACTTGTAACATAATCAGCTTTCCAAAGCCTCCCACTCCTCCTCCATGCATGGCCATCCTTTTATCCTTCTCCACCCACAGCGGTGTTCCTCTCTCCACCTGTCTGCAGCTCTCATGTTAGTCCTGAAGTGACTGCAGGTCCTGCTCTGTTTTCCTCCCCAGGGTCAGAGCTTTCATGGCCGATCTAAAACCGTTCAGGGGGAATAAGTTTGGACAGCGCAGAAGCTGAAATGTTCTCAGTAATAAGGGAATGATTGTTTTCCAGCTCTTGTTTCATTTCTCTGCTGCTTCCCGTTACGTTTCATTGTCTTCCCTGTCTCCCTCTCCTGTTTGTCGCTGTTTCCAGAACGCCTACGACATGGCGGAGCTGCAGAAGTCCCTCCAGCCGAGCCCCGCCCAGTCGGTCCAGTACTGCCGCTCCAGAGCCCTGCACCACCCGCCCCCCCCTCCCCACCATCACCTTCTGCACCAGGCTCCACCTGCCCCACCCTCTACCCAGCCCCTGGATCCCCTCAGCCGGACCTCCAGCTCCACCACCCTGCCGCCTTCTGCTGCCTCCACCTCCTCCACCACCACCACCAGCCTTCGCAGAGACGTGCCCCCAATCAGACCCCCAGCCCAGGGGCAGGCCCGCCCCTCCCAGCTGCCACGGCGCTCCCTCTCCTTCTCTAGCCAGGATTTAGCTCGCTACCTGTGTGAGATCATCCGCGATGCCGACCAGCACCCGGACACGGGGCCCTTCGACTCCCTCCAGGTGTTTTCCACTGAAGGAGGGGGGTCTCCTGCGGGCTCCCTCAGCTCCTTCAGTTCAGCAGGGCTGGATGGAGGGAGCACCAGCGAGGGAGGGGGTGAGGAGACACTGGGGGAGTGGGGTCCTCGCTTTGAGAAACTGAGAGCTCTGTATGAGCGAGCAGAGGCCAGCGACCTCTGAGGACGCCGCTAACGCGCCGCCTTAAGGAATCGATCCGGAGGTTAGCAGAGTGAAAGCAGGGAGCAAGCGACTGACAGAGTCTACCTACGGTCCAACAGCGCGGCTCTTCGCTGCCTCGGACCTGCGATCACCGTCTCCTAGGAACAAACCCCCTCTGGGGAGGAGATGGGGGCTTCAGAACATTGCTCTCTGTCAGTAGAACCAGTGGATCTGGGTCCTTTCAGGACATTTTTATTTCTAATCAGCACCAGTGAAATGTATTTTGTAAAATGTTGCTGCTGAATGAGACCTGTGTAAATAAGAGACACACTGCACAGTCACACCACCACTGATGGGGGGGGGGGGGTCTGCTGCTTGGCTTTGCACACTTTCACAGCTTCTGTCTCTGTGAAGGTTTCCACTCAAAGAACAGCAGCGTTTTTAATCTGGAATCTATTTTCTGGAACAGAGTCTGGTTATATCCCACCTTCCATCCCAAACTTTTAGTTCCTAAACCCACAGACATCAGCTGGGACTCCGTCTACGGCAGCATGTTTGACCAAATTTAGGCCTGGTCACAGAGTGCAAGAGCACAGGATGGTAGTAACTAGGTAGATCTACAATTCCAGAGTGAGCAGATGATATTTGTCTGATCGCTTCTAAACATTACCAACCATTAATCAGCACCTCAGCAGTTAATTAACCTAATACTGTTTTACATAAGTTATTTCTTGAAAGGCTACTTTTTCTTTTAGTTGAAGTATGGCTACTCTTACTTTTGGTTGTTCTCTAACCACCTCTGCAATCCTACAATAAAAGCACCAGGAGGAATTCTGCTAGAAGTGCACATGTGTGATAAATACCAGCAGTTTTATATAAAGGAAAAGTCCGGTCAGCAAGGAATGATCAATGGATCTTTACCTAAATATAATACGCTTGATTTCATGAATTTAACGTTAATCAGTGAAACAAATAAAAACAATAATTTGCGATCCCTGAGTCTGGGAGCGGCCATTTTTGCCCAAATATAGTAACACTTTAACATTTTTTAAATCAGTTCACAGCGAAAATCAAGAAACACTTTATTTTCTGTCCAGCTTCGGGTTCATAAAGTTTTCTGGATTTGAAGTCAGAATTCAACTTTTGGACAGTTTAGTATGAAGACGATTTGCTAACGTTAATGCTGCAACAAGAAAGAAAAAAGAGGCGGGATTTCCTGAAAAGTAGCCAATCACAGGGAGTTTTCTTCTTCAGGTTGGTTTCTCCCTCAAAGTGAGAATAGTTGACCTGAGCCACAGAAACAGGTGGAGAAGAGAGGATCTACAGGAGCTTAGAAAGCAAGAGAAGGAGCCTGGAGTCATAGATGATGTAGTTGAAACCTTACGTTATTCCATCTGCACACATAAAATGCTCAGAATGCAACTTTATTCACCCTACATGTGTATATTGTGTATGAGTATTTATTTTGCGTGTGCACTTTTAGCAGCATTTAGATCTCATAAAGGGAAATTTGGTTAAAGTCAGGTGAGACGGAGCTCAGGTTTCCAGATCCTGGCAGCTCTATAATAGAGCTGAGCAAAGGCTTCTTCTCAACATTACATTTCTCAGATTCAAGCCAAAAAATTTTTAAAAATCAGTCAGCGTTTAGTGCGCTGGTGCCGACTGGAGGAAGCAAAGGAGCCCAGAAGGAACAAAGAGTTTCCCGCTTTCCTTCTGAACTGATCATTGATATGTTTGCTAAATTGGAGGACCTGGCCATAGATATTATATATGTATATGTAATATATGCCGATAGGGCGGCCATCTTGGATCGGACCACAGTTCAGACAGCTGCTGTCAGAACGAATGTGAGGCGCCTTACATCTCATTTTAATCACATGAAAGACGAGTTAGAGAAAATATTACAGTAAACTCTCACATGACACGACCACTTAAAAGACCAAAACAAATACGAAAATTACCTTTCAGTTAGATCACACATATTTATTCAGATTAAAAACTATTTTAACTGAACTCAAACTGGATGAGACATATGCAAAGTTATATATTTTGTAAATAAATATTAATATGATAAACGCAAAGTTATGGTAGTGATATTAACATATTATAAGATTATGTTTTACAAATATTATATATTTATATAGTATATTATTATTAGTTATTATTTTTAAGGATTGCTCTTTAATCATGAATATTATGATCTATAGAGGAAAATTTCCTCTAATGTGATTTAGAAAAAGGAGTAAAGTTATTATTTTGTTTTTATATATATAAATAAAATTTATATATATATATATATATACATATATATATTTTTATATATATATATATATATCCATCCATCCATTATCTGACACGCTTATCCCAATTGGGGTCGCGAGGGGTGCTGGTGCCTATCTCCAGCAGTCAATGGGCGAGAGGTGGTATACACCCTGGACAGGTCGCCAGTCCATCACAGGGCAACACAGAGACACAAAGGACAAACAACCATTCATGCAAGCACTATAAATATATATATATATATATAAATATATATATATATATATAGAGAGAGAGAGAGAGAAATGCAGCTTTATATCTAAAAAAAGATATATTTGTTTTATATCTATGTATATATAGATATACAGATATAGATATATAAAGAACAATTCTATATATGACACACATTAACTGATTAAAGAATAAATGTTCACATATGCATAAATAATGACTAACAAAAACATAGTTCGAAAAAGAGTTTTGGAAGTTTAGACAAACTTATAAGGACAAAGAGCCTTTAGTTAGACACAACATAAATTTGCTATTCACTACCATTTGACAAAAAAGTCTTGTCAATGACAAAAAATAGATAAGAATTAACATTAAATTGATTGAAAAAAACTAAATAATAAGTTTACTCTTTTGTAAATCACATGACAACAAATTATCCTCTATACATCTCTATCAAAGAGCAATCCTTAAAAACACTGAATAATAATAATATGCTATATAAATATATAAAATTTGTAAAACATCTTTGTTTTTATCATATTAGTATATATTTGCAAAAATATATAACTGCAAAAATCTTATTCAGTTTCAATAGTTTTTAATCTGAATAAATATGTGTAATCTAACTGAAAGGTAATTTTAGAATTTGTTTTGATATTTTAAGGGGCAGTGAAATGATAGAGGTCCGATTCAAGATGGCTGCCCTCTAGGTACGTCAGCCAGCGTTTAATGAGGCGTTTATGTATATAATGTCTATGGACCTGGCAACCGGCTAGCAAACGCTAAAGAATGAGAGCAGGTGAGCGTGAGTACGCCACCTACTGGATAGGAGGAGTTAAAGGTGTAGCTATCGCCTTCAACTGAGCCTGTGATGACCTGATTAAGCTGGTCAAAAAGAGCTCGCCAAAATAAGGCCTGCTTTCTACCCCATGTCTTAAACAAAAGACCACCTCCCTTCTTCTTCTTGACCAAATTCGTGTTTTGACAGGTGGGAGGTAAAGAACGACCTCTTTAGCTCAGTTCAGTCCTCCTGTATTGCTGGATAGTTTTTCTTTTACTCACTCGGCTCAAACGCTTCAACAGGCATACCAAACGTTACAGCTGCAAGAGGCTGCTTTGACAAACCATCGCTTAGCAGAATACCAACTACAGCTTTCCAAGGTAACAGCTCCAGAAAGTCAAACACACAAACGGGGGTGAAGAAGATTTTAAAGGATTATTCTTATATGCACCACAGCTGGAACACCTGTGCATTAAAATCATACAGCTCTGTCAGCACCATCTTCCTGGTGTCACAGAGGATGACAGATATCCTTCCCTTTTCCTCAACTCTTTACAGGCCTTTTCCTGCTGAGGAGCGATATCTGAGAACCATGAGGCAAAGAGAAAGAAGAAAGCAGGAAGGAGTGCGGGAAGGCCCACAGAGATGGTTCATGGTGGAGGGGTGAGGCTCCACAAGGAGAGGCAGGAAGAAGAGCCTGGCAGCAGGAAGTAGGCTTTGCAGGGACTGCTTGTCATCTGAGGTCGGGCCAGAGGGAGATATTTTCTAGCTTACACTGATTGGAGCAAAAGGTTTGGTGTTCTGAAAGCTCAGCGTTCCCCGTCACACCAGCATACCGTTAGTGATACGCATTACTTCCAATATCCTCTCTCTCCACTCTCCTTGCAGCCAATCACCAATTTGGTCAGGTTTTTGTCATTGTTTCGTGCATAAAACAACCAAAAAAGTCCTTTACAAGGTCCACCACACACATTAGCTTTAAAAAACAAAACGTTGCAAGTCCGTTTGACAAAGATCATATTAAAGAATTATCAGGATTTTTTCACAGAGATTTAAATATTTATAGGGAGAAGATTCTACAACCCAGTTGGCTGGATATGAGATTCATTTTTTTTATATATATATTAGCAACATGCGGATCATTTCATTTTTATTTATTCTTTTTACAGTACATGAAGAATTACTGATCATAAATAATTATTTTCAGATTAAACATAAATAGATAAATTAATTCCGAGGGTTAGGATTAGGATTCACTCAGTGATAACAACGCGCATGCCTTTTACTAAGGGTATGCTGGCCTGACGCGGTATGCTGAGCTGACAGAACACCGGGATTCAAACTAAGATGGCATTGGTTTATTTATTAGTAATTCCTCTGATATTCACAATAAATGTAATTCATAATCAAACCAACGGGTGGCTCTGGACGGGGACCAGTTATTCCTGCCCCCTGTTGGGCCCCTACTGAAAGCTTGACATTAAACCATTTCTGGTGATGATGCTCTTTCTGACTACATGCTTAACTCACTGCTTGAATTACAGAGAATCTAAATCTTTTATAAATTGTTCAATAATTATGCTGTTTTAATTCAATGACGCTAACTTCCACCCAACCCCAAAAATCCCTGTTTGTTTGGGTCTATTAATGGACGGACTTTCTGGTCAGCAGCCATATTTTTTTAATATCTCCCTCCTGTGGCAAAAACAAGGTGACAATCAGTCCTGGTTTACCAGCAGACTTTTCAGCGCAGTTTCTTCATCTCTGCAGAGCCAGGAAGTTAAAGAGGATGATTTGAAGGGATGGAAGGTCAGGCAGGTGACCCTGATGGACAAACCAAAGCATCAGATGAACTTTATCACAGGAGTTAAACTTCCACAAACAGATGTTGTTTCATTTGAGTGTCCTGTAAAACTGGTGGGAGCAGCCTGCGCCTTCTTCTCCATTTCTCCTGATTTGGTCGTGCAGAGCAGCGCTTCACTCACACATTCATTTGTACCATGAAACGGTTTCCTAGATGTTGTGTTCTGGGTGCAAACGTCATGTTTTTACCTCATTTTGTAAATACAGAGAGAGATTTTGGCTCTTTGTGGAGAGAAGCCGCGTCGGGTTGCAGAGTCCGAAGGAAAGGAGTAAAACTGGACATGTTTTCTATGGTACGACGGTGATGAGCTTTTAACAGTTATATAAGTGTTTTGTATTTGCTTTGATCTCTTTTTCTCAATAAATTCATTTATTTGCACCAGAGAGCGAGTGTGAAAAAACCAGCTTTATATCTGTTCGTTTCCATCTCTCTCTCACACACACCCTGCCACAGTAAAGTTTACAAACATCCATCATCTGTAGGATGTCCTATTCCTTTGGTGCCCGGGATTTAGTTCAGAGTTCTCTTTTCTACAACGTGGCTATGATTAGAAAAACTCAGTCAGACTAAAGGCCATTAAAGAGAAAAATGAGGAGAGATTTCACGCCAGAAAACTTTTCATTAAAAAACTGGAAAATCTCTGATGATGAAAAGTTCTAAATATTGCACAAAAAAAATAGGAAGCTTAGAGATTAATTTTCACTTTTAAGAAAAAAAAGAAGCGAAATTCTCTGATTTTAGAAAGTTATGAATCTTTAAAATGAACACGCTCCCATATTTCCATGATTAAAGGTAAAACATGTGTTTTAAACTAAAACACATGGAATGGTCAGAGAATTAAGAATCGCTTCTACGATGCTGCGATTAGGTCTAAGGGGTAGTCTACTATTTTCCTGTATTTAAGTGAAAAAAGCTGTGCACTAAC